TTTAATGGTAGGAAATTCTGTTTTATGTGACACAGAAATACTATCCAAGCCTGGATGTGATCCAACATCTGGAGCTTCTCCTCCTATGTGAAGTTAATGGGAAACAGACCTAACATGTGCCACCACATATCAACTCTGTGACCTTTTTTTCTGCTGTACTTTGTCAGTAGCTAATTGTTAGCCATTCACAATTGAAAATATTGAGCTCCCCCCCCCCACACCCCCCGTTCTCGCTCCAGGGCATTTGAACATATTTTTCTGTGGAATGCCCGAAAGGCATTGTTGCTCTTTACAGAGTTCATCAGAGTCATTCATGTCATTTTCCCAAGCCCTTTATACAATACCACAGTGGTTTCTACAGTTTGAGATTTAAAAAAAAATCAAGGATGGTGGTCTCTGTCACTTGGAATCTGGTAAAAGGGGTAAATACATCAACAAGACCAGGAAAAAACATGAGGACCATGGGTACCACTGAACTTTTAAAAAATACCTAAAGGATTTTTTTTTAATTAACACAAAACTTGTAGCTTTGAACTATGGAAGAGGAGACAACTGTCTAAATTAAACCCTTAAAGCACAAGAGGAACATGCATGGAGCGAGTGATTTGAAACCTGACTAATTTTGTAGTAAAATAATGGTGTGAAACTGTTTCACACTGTGCTTTATCACCTGTTGATTAGCCAAAATAATAATTTTATTTTGATACATTTTTAATAATTTTTATGAATTTTTCATCATTTTGAATATGATGGAGAAACATGAAGAGATTAAAAACCTCAAATAACGCAGCAGTGATATAAGTTGTTTGGAAAATTTTATTTACATGATTTGGTTTGAAAACCAAATCTGGACTCCAGCCCCCTTACTACTAAACAAAGGGTATGAATAATGGATAGATAGATGGAAGGATAAAAACATTAGTTATCATGCATCAAAGTGAGCTTAAATCAAGATCTGATTGCCATGTCCTGAATTTTGGTGGACAGGTGGCCTCCTACCATAGATACATGGAATTCACTGGGCACCATTCTTTCTCAAACGTTGGTAGAAACAATCTGAAAATCAGCCATTAAAGTGCTAATAGTTTTGGGAATGCACTGTATATCCCTAACACCTTTATCTACTTACAGTTTTATTTGGATTTGTTCTTACGGTTCCCATTCGGAACAAGTTTAAATGTTGGTATATTTTTCACTGGTCCAATGTGTGGGTTAGCCCACCCTGTGGCAAAGTTGTTGGTATTTCATTCCTCTTGATAAGTATGATTTAAAAATTAAGTAAAATAATTAGAATTTCCCTCTTCGAGTTTTTACATTACAAGGTATTTGGGTATTTCCTTTTATGACAAACTGAGATGCTGGCCTTATTTTACTATGGGAAACATCCCAGTTACCTCTGTACAAAATTCCAGGGTAGTTGGATCCACTTCCAGAAACTGACAAAAAAAACAGAATGTCTTTAAGTCATAAAGATCTTCTCTTTCTTGATAAAGAACATAAACCGCTGCTCGAAGGCAGGGTAACAAATAAATAAAAACAAAAACATTCTCAAAAATTGTAAAAATACAACTAGAAATCAGTGTGAGAACACAGAAGAAAAGCAACAACCTAAAATCACTGCGAAGCGGGACAAGGGGAAAATACAAAGGAAAACTTCCGATAGAAACTAGCTCAGACCAAAGAATCAAAAAACCTTCGGCAGTGGGAAAAAAAACCTGCAAGCCTCAATAGAACCTGAGAGTCGGGCCTCAGGTGTGTGTGGAAAAGGCCACGCCCCCAACACGCCTTCAGGGCCAAACGGTTCAGAAACGAAAAGAGGGGTGCCGTGCTAATCCACTTTAGCCATGAAGCTAACTACTGAGTGGATGCTTTAAGTCCTCTGTGACCTGAAAAATCATCTTCAATAACGACTCCTTGATAATCATTGTTGTCAGATACAAAGAAACCCAAGTCAAACCTCTGAATCACAGATTGATTTCAGTGCTATGCACTTTTTTGTCTGAAATTTGTCTCTCAAATCCCAGAATTATCTCCATCTATTTTCCTCTTTAATAATTTGTCAAAACTATATACCTACTTAGGATCATAGACAAATATTGCAAGGATTTTGTAGCGGCAAACATGCAGAATCCATGTTTGTTAGATGTCAGCACCTATAAAAGCGACTGTAACGTACAATTATCCTGGAAAGGAGATTAGTTTGGGTGTTTGTCGTGTGTTTCTATAAGGGCCAGAGGGTAGGACTAAAGTGGAAAAGCTGTTGAAAGGAGAGAGATACCATCAGGGGGAAAATCCAAGGAGAGGGACCAGACCAGAGTAGCTGCTCCCCCCACTGGACAGGGCTAGTACACCCCACCCTCCTACTGCCACCCTCAGGTGGGAACGGAGAGAAGAGTGGAGAAAAGTCGAATAAGGGAGGGCCTATCGGGTTTTTTTATTCAATTCATACGTAGTATTTTGCTTGGAGTTCGAGTCGTTAACTTTGACTGGAAGCCATAACTAGTGACTTGATCTTGAAAAGAGAACCAGACAAAGAATTATTATGGATATTTATATACCAAAGTATATAATATAACAGATAGGAGGCCTTTGAATGCAACTAAAGAAATGAAAACAGGAAAAGAGGAAGATATGCTAATGAATTAAGTGCAAAACAAACTGTAGATTAGCTAAAATGTACTATGATTTAGCAAAAATACCTTTTCATGATCTTGAGCCAATTAGCCTCTGCCCCCCCCATTCTACTTCTGGAAATTGTGTGAAACTGCAGTCTTGGAGCAAAGTTCTCCGTTGGGAAAATATCCAACCACGAGTTCATTAAGATTCGATGAGCTTGGTCAATGAGAGCTTTACATGTGAGGAACAGTACACAAAATTATATTCTGAAAATAACGTGCCAATTAAGAGAAGCCAAAACTGGAGCAATACGATCCAATCTTGTAACAAAGAAAAAAATGCATTGAGCAGTTTTTCCTGCAATTTTGTGCTGGATGTTTCTAATTCATTTCGGAACATAATATCAATTCTAAAACTGTAAAGGGGAAAGAAAGCAGTCCCAGAGGCCTGTTCTACATTCTGGTAAAAAAGAAATTCAAAGGTTCCTCATTGCAGAACAATGAAACAAGTTTCATTTAACTAGGAAACGTACTTAGTTCCAAAAACTACAACTTCAGCTTTATTCGTATCCTGGTTTGTATGTATTTAAGAAATAGGTGAAATTTAACCGGCTGATTAAAAATCATTGCATGGAGAGAGACGGTTTGTCCACATGGGGCCAGTCCCAGGGTCCTTATGACCTGTGCAGAGCAGGTATGAGGGATTCAAACATTATTTATGAAAAAAAGCAACATTTTACTCACTTACTTTTCTTGAAAGGTCCATCTTGAAAATGGCCTTGACAGTTAATCTGACACCAAATCATAAAATAGCTATTACACCAACACAGCTATCCAATCAGAGGGTGAGAATACGGTGACGTTGCCTAAGGCCTTCTAGAAGGCCCTGGAGTCCCCAAACTAAAATCTGATTGGTTAAAGTGTGGGGGGGGGCTGCAAAATGGATTGTGAAGGCCTCCAGGCAGACATCTTTGACTTGAACCCTGCCTTGAACCCTGCCTAGCAACAAATGATGGCATGATGAAATGTGATTGGTTGAATGCTCTTATATGAAAATGCATGTCTGGAAGCAGCGCAACCAGGGGGAAAGCTATGAATGGAAGCGGACAGACTATTTAGAGATATTCAATAAGTTTCCATGGACAAAATATAATTAACATCAGTCTGTGATTCAAATATTTTCTTAGGCCTGTAGAGAAGGCCCACCACTGAAGTTTTGTGTCAGTACCCAAAGATATCCTGCAGTTGCCCTATTGTAAGCAGAGACCAGTTGCTTTGACATCCCATAGTTACGGAGAACCTGTTTTAGTTTAGCCAAAGTAGGAAGTGGACACTTTGCAGTTCCTCAGCTTTAACTAGAATTTGCTCATAATCCTGGGACTGATGTTGCCAATGCTAGAAAACTGATTAATCAGTTTGAAGCACGCTATAGCTAATAACTCCATTTTGAACACAAACAAAATTATTAAAGAGATGAATGTGAACTGTGGAGTAAGTCAAACACTGTTAACACCCAGTTGGTTTGACAACGTCCAAAACTGAGGGGTTACCTAGCGACAGGCTGGACTGGATGTCAAAGAGAAATAACATGACAGGACTGGAGTTACTGGGATTCTCCAACTTTTTTGCGAAACCTAGAGATGAAGAAGGTCATTTATAGAAGCTGTTTATAAAGAAAACACGCTTTCCTTTAGAAGCGCGTTGCACCACCGGTCACTGATTGTGTGTATGTACAGTATATGTCCCATATCTTCATGTGAGTTGGTTTTGTGCTCAAATTTTGTGCGCCACTGTGTTGTAATTATTCCAGTTGTGAGTATACTGTTTTTAAATGTTGCCATTAGACCTTCAGTTAGTGTTACCGGTAGAGATAACTATTGCTTTATGACAGTTACTGCCGAAATTATTCATTCTAAAGGGTCAAGTTCTGGGCGTCTAAATTTGTAATGTTACTACATTTTTATGTTATATCCATACATTGATATTTTGTGAAACTGATAATAGATTCATCAGCATAGAGGAAATGAAAGCATCATGTCATTCTAGATAAGACCAATGGATACTTGTGTTTGGAAAGCTGTTTTGGATCAGTTCTAAAAGAATGAGACAGACACATTCCTTTTCAAGACTATAGGGGTGGTGTTGATCTGGTAAAATCAGCCTATTTTTTTCCCTGATTCCAATAATTTTTTTATTGGAATTGGCAAATTAAGTCCCGGATAAGGAACTATCATTTCAGGATGTCCCTCATTAGAATGATGCAGGTATGTAAAATGAATGTAAAAAAAAGTTGGCAGAAACATATATAGAAAGCATGTTCTTATTTATTCGTTTCATGATGGTAAACAGCCAGCCGGCGGATGGACAGTTTAGGTCACAAATTCTTTAGTAGTAGGAGTCCATGATGCGCCTCATGCTCATGAACCTCATGCCTCCCATGCCTCCCATGCCGCCCATGCCCATGCTCATGAAGTTCCTGTACTCTCCGGGCCTCATGTACATCATCCGGCCTCTGTAGTGGGGCTGCTCGTACATCAGCCAGTGGCCCTCCATCACGTTGCAGGACATGAAGTTGGACATGCTGTAGCGGTCCATGATGCTGTCGCAGTCCTCCATCATCTCGTGCATCTGGCCCATGAAGTTCTCCCTCTCGTAGATCCTCATGCGGTAGGAGCCCCGGTACATGGGGATCATGCGGCAGGAGCGGATGCTGTCGCTCATGCCCATCATGCTCATGTAGTCGGCGTACTCGCCGCGCTTCATGAAGTACTGGTTGCCCATGAAGTTGGTGCGGTCGTAGACCATGAAGCAGCCCCTCTCCACCCGGCAGGAGTGGCAGCGGCTCAGGTAGGAGGACATGTCCGGGCAGTCGCTCATGCACTCGTAGGAGCGGCCCTGGAAGTTGCGGTCCTCGTAGAAGACGATCCTGCTCATCATGTTCATGCCACTGGAGGTCATCTTTGCCAGGAGTTGCTGGAGGGGAGTTCTGCTACTGCTGCTGATGATGAAGCTGGAGGTGAGCTGCTTGCCTACTTGTTGGAGACCCCTGCTTTTTATACCTGACGGCCACAGGGCCCCTTTGTGAAAAAAAACAGCCTGAGCCAGCAACACACAAAGGATCACAATGGATCATTGAGAGTTGTCTCATTTACGGAAAAAGAGAAAAGACCTTAGAAAGGCAATTTTACTTCATATTCAGTCAGACAAAGTCTTTTTAAAAGGGGAAACAAAACAAAGGGTCCTTTTGTCACACCTTTAAAGGCTTTACATTTACTGCCTCACAGCACAAAACCATTCTTAGTCGTGGAATTTGTTTTTTTTTTTTTTTTTCTATTCTCTCAGCTGATAATAAAGTATGTTCTTATATTCTAATACTCTGAATTGATCACATATGTAGTCACACTAAAAAGCTAACAACATTCACCAACTCCTGAATTTGAATATATACTCCGTTTTGATCCATTTGAATGGGCCATTATTTGTTTAACTGCCAATCCTGTATTAACAGATTCTAAACTCTGATCCCTGTTTCCTCATATTTTTCCCCTTTGTTTGCTTTAGTTGTAAGTTTCTATGTGGATCATTTTTTCAGATAAGGGTAACATATCTCAATGTCCACATTAAAAGTCTTGGGGTCGGATAAGGTGAATAACCAAATATTTACAACAATTCTAAACTACATATTAGCTTATTTTCCTCATAAAGTAATCTTATTAATTTCAAAATGTTGATCATAAATGTATCCTCAGCTACATACCATTCCCATACCCTAATAACATATAATATATATAATACATAGCATTTAATAACATAAAACATATATAAAATACAGCACTAGCTATGAGAACTTCTGACTCTCAGGTCAGGAAACGTGTAAGCCTGAAGTAATTATTTAATCCGTTTAGCATCATGGGTTTCAGCATAGATATTCAAAACACTCTTTTAGGGCCAGTTTTGGAGGGTTAATCAATTTTATTAGATTATCTTAGGTTTTGGATTTAGCACTCCGATGAAGATTGACAGACAAAACACAATTTCTACCTTTTTGACCAATTGCTTTGTATTTGTGTCCTAGAAAACCTTACATCATGATACAGAAAAGGTTGTAGGTATGTGTTCAAATTTTAAGCAAAGGGCTATTATGTCAATTATGTTCATTTAAAAAAAATAAAGTTTCTCTATAAAGTCATCAGTTCAGATAAGGCTCTAAAAGAATTTAGGGCTCTTAAATGTAACAGCTTACGTGGAGCAATCAAATTGTGATAGCACTTATAGAATTATAAAAACAAAGACAAACCATACAAAGAAACTAGAATCACGATGATAATGTCCTAAACATCCTGACATTAGCACAACACAGAAGAAGTTGTGTGTCTCTTAGACCGCGGTTCCATCCAGACCTTTTCTGTATGGCTTTCACTTCATGTTGGTTCCAGTATTGCTTCACTCAGCACACCGCTCAGTTTTATTTCCCTTTAACTCCGCTGTTTATTTCTCCTTCCTCTTGGGTCATGAAAGGCAACGCGGAAAGTCTTTACACCATCTGTCATGCAGAACTCTCTGCAAGTAAGGCCCAACAGGTTGTCTCTCCTTTTCTTTTTTTAAAGTACTTAATATAAAAATTCCTGGAGTCCCCCAACACTCTAAAGAGAAAAAAAGCGGGGAAAAAAGACTTTCTTTTCTGTGTGGGTTTTCCATTATTCTCAACAAATGAACTGAGAGGAATGAAAACCCTTACCCTATTCAGATTTTACTAAGCTAATTAGCATGTAATTAAAGAAATACATCCTAGTTTGGACATGTTTGACCAGAGGTATAGGTTTTGTAAAACTGATATTGGTTTTCGTTCGATCGTTGATGGGTACACTCACTTATAATGGACCACATATTCCCCTATATTCATAAAATCCTTGAAAACAGACATGAGAACTGAGGAAGTGCATGAAGGGGTCCTCAGATGAGACCAGTGCATGTACTTTAAACCTAGTTCATATAACATTGGACCAAATTTCCATCTTCAAGAGAAAAGTTCAAGACCAGCAAAAATGGCCTTGTGGGTCCATTACCATTACATCACTTATTTGATTTGATGATGTATTTATAGGGGTCACATGTCCCCTAAAAGCTGCAGAGTAAGTCTGTGGCTGCCATCGCTATCAACTTTTTAAAATGCTAATATTTCTACGACTTTTGTGCATTCACATTATGGCCTTTTTGTGGTATTTCTGATTCATGCACCACATTATAGGTCACACATCCATACTCATTTCAAATAGGGACTTTCACACTTCGAAGGCACACTGAGTTATTTATGTGTGAAAAGAGGAAGTCTTATAATTATGTTGTCTATATGTACTGGATTTAAGTATTGCAGGGAAACCAGAAAATTTCCATTTCAGCTATCAATATCCTGTTTTTAGATTATGTTTGATCAAACATAAACTTAACATCATGTGTTTTATATTATTTTTGTAAGGTGTTTATGGGGATAACAGAAACCAGTTCCTGTTCAGTCTGCTGTAGTGGTCTGAGACGTTATCTTACTTCTTTCAAACATTTCTAAGAACAATTTGAGCTTTTATTATACCGCGGTGTTAGGCCAGCGTGTGTTTACCACTCGCTGTTGCAACAGAACCAGTTCACTTATTAACAGAGCTCTATCACACAGCTCAATCTTGACTCACATGGGGCTTTCCCAGGATTTGCTCCTCTTTGTGTTAACTTTTCAAACAGTAAATAGCAGCCAGCCATCACATCACACAGAGATGGAGAATATTCCTATATCACAATGAGTGTTCTCTGCACTAAAATCTCATAAAATTATTTTCTATTTCATTCTGTTCTGTTTTTGAAGTGGTAAACAACATTAGACTAAATTCCAAGAAACCTTTATGAAACAGTCCAGTACAAATCAATTGAAATTTAAATTGTAACCATGTTTTTTTTTTTAATCCCATGTCAAACATTAAGTAGTGTAAAACAGAGGCAATGGACTGTTTAACAAGTAACTTTCATTTTACCAATAACAGAAAGCAGAAATGAGTGTTCGAGTTCATGAGTCTGTATTTAAATATAAGGAAGGACAACTAAGAGCTGGTGGTTATGTTTTTCACATTTGCCCCTGTGTCTTTATAAAGCTGTATAAAAGAAACATACAAGCAACACACATACAAGCAAGGAACATCCCCAAAAGTTGTTTTTTTATTGCTTTGGGATTCATGTTGAAAAAAAAACTAAATTGACTCACAATTGTAAGTACATGTTTAAGGTAAATTAAGGACAAAGGAAGACAATTCTTCAACAGTCAGTGGCCTGTTGGGAAAATATCTAACTATGAATTTTAACTACAGTGGAGCAGGGTAATAAAAAGCTTTAAACACAAAGATAAAGGCTCTGTTCTAATCTATGCTACAGGTTCTGATCAGAAAGTTGGCTGCAGTGTTTTGGATCAGGCGAAGGCTTTTTAGTGAGTTTTTTTTTAAAGCCCAAAAATAAAGAATGACATCCGTTATAAGAACTACAAGAAGTTACAAGCTACAGGAACAAATTAATTGCTATCTAACTTCAAAAACTCTGGAAAACAGCTCTTTCGAGAGCATCTCCTACCCTAACATTACCCTGTGGCCCCCCCCCCCCCCCCCCCCCCTTTCTGTCTTTCCCTCTATCTCTGTCAGCTGACACTAACAGAGTCTGGCTTGAATCTCCGTTTCAATAAAGCAGTTAAAAAAAACACAGCTGAAAGTAGAAAGGGAAGTTCACTTTGGAAAAAAAAAAGAATTTCAGTGGCTAAAATTGGAAACCCGGCAACTGCAGTTCGCAACAAGGAGGTTTGCTCTATGGGACATAAACTAATCCTAATCCTATCCCTGGGACCTGTAATTAAAATCCACATCCGGATGTTAAGCGGAAATTCACCAGTTGTCTTTGTAAAGAGCGAATGAACAGTCATTCATTCTTGCCGCAGCGTGAAGGAAATTTTTACCACAGCTCATAGACACCCCATTGATGTAGTTGTGTGTCTTTGTGTGATTTGAAAAAGGAAACATTGCTACAATGGCTGAAAAGGGGTACGCACATTATGTTCAATCCTCACTTTATGAGCCTTAATACATAAGTGAATAATAGTGTGTGCTTAAACTATGATCAAACCAAAATGTTTTGAGTCAGAGAGAGAGGGCATGTCTCCCTTCCTGTTTACCATGTGTCAGTTTCATGTGTGTAGACGTGTGTAGAAACCACGTTCTTGGTGTTGACAAAGAATGCTGAGCACTCACCCTCTTTCCAGCGTTCAACATGTGTGGCAGACTCAGACTGGCAGGGCTGACTACACTCAAAACCACAGATATGCAGACATGGTTTTGATTTTCTCAGGCTTCACAAGGACAGTGGCTATGGCCGACTGGGTTCTCCATCTGTTGGAGGAGAAACTGTTTATGAATTTGGTCCTTTAGAATGGTGGCTAGATATATGCTCAAGCCGTTGGTTTGTGGTGGCTTGCTGTTCATGGAGATCTGAGGACAGTCGTGGGATTGGAATAATTGGTGTTGATCAGATAAAGCTTACCAGAAAGAATCTGCCGGGTCATGGCTTTAGGAGGTTGTTCAGTCATGGCTTTAGGTAGTTGCCTGACCCACATGCAGAAACACTCCAGAAGAACAGTGTCAAAATGAGAGATTTTATTTCCAATGAAAATCTAGTTGTAGTTTAGTACGAGATCAAGAGCCAGGGCCAGATGTTCTCGAAGCTGTGGTTTCACAAATTGTTCAAAGACAAGGATAAATGTGAGTAAGAGTGCTTATGAAGGCTGTGAGTGAGTTCAGAACACGTTTACTTTCTTGGAGGGAGGATTTCTGCCAGGGAGGAGTCAGTGGGGTTCAGGAGGTCTAGAGACAGACACCTTACTCGAAGATCCGGGAACACAAAGGAGGGCGGACCAGGGTTTGAGATGACGAGGGAAGGAATCCACGAACTGTTAGCTAAAGGGGTGGAACGAGATTCTTCATCGGTGACTTGTTGGTCAATGAGCTGGAATGGAATCCAGTGTACCATAACAATTCAACCTAAGAACAAGC